ATGTTAAATACTTTTAAATATTAAAATTGACTTTATAAAAAATTAGGAAAAAAAAATTAATCAAAAAGAGTTCAAAAGTGTATTATAATATTTTCAGTTTTAGTTTAATTATATTTTTCATTCTCAAAGTAGAAAAATATATTGAAATTATATTTTTGTCAATTCCATCATTATATTATCATCCTCATCTTCTCCCATGTTCTACTTTATGTTTACAATAATTTATATTCTTAAATAATTTATATTTTTATTTATAATTTTTTAATATATATTTGAGAAATTAATCAATTATAATCTATTATTTGAAAAACTAATCAATTCTAATCAATTATTTAGAAAACTAATTGATTATAATTAATTATTTGAAAAAATTATCCAATATGATCGGTTATTTGAAAATGTAATCGATCATAATGGTTGTATATGATAGCGGTTCCACTTGGAACCGCTCTTACAAGTGCACATCTAATAGCGGTTAAACCTTAACCGCTATCTAAAATACAGCTTAGATAGTGGTTAACGTGGAACCGCTATCTAAAATATAGTTTATATTAACTAATTTTTTGAATATTATGTTTTTAAATTTGGTAATACAGAAAACATTTCAGAAAGCAAAATGTTAAATACTTTTAAATATTAAAATTGACTTTATAAAAAATTAGGAAAAAAAATTAATCAAAAAGAGTTCAAAAATGTATTATAATATTTTCAGTTTTAGTTTAATTATATTTTTCATTCTCAAAGTAGAAAAATATATTGTAATTATTTTAATTTAATAAAATATAATTTAAATTTTTAATACTAAAATTAAAAGATTAAATAATAATAAACTTAATTATTTAAATTTAGTATTTAGAAACTAAAATTATAGTTTATCTGTTTTAAAAAATTAAAATAAATATTTAAAAATAAAAATCAAAACTATTATTATGTTAAATTTATTAAAAGTATAATTAAATCTCTATTTTCTTCAATTTTTCTTTTTTTAACTTCTCAATTCTGCATTTTTGTCAATTCCATCATTATATTATCATCATCATCTCCTCCCATGTTCTACTTTATGTTTATAATAATTAATATTCTTAAATAATTTATATTTTTATTTATAAATTTTTAATATATATTTGAGAAATTAATCAATTATAATCTATTATTTGAAAAACTAATCAATTATTTAGAAAACTAATCGATTATAATTAATTATTTGAAAAAATTGTCGAATATAATCGATTATTTGAAAATTTAATCGATTATAATAAAAAAATGTGGTTGTATATGATAGTGGTTCCACTTGAACCGCTATTATATGTTCATTTTTAAGAGCGGTGAAAATATTAACCAGCTCTTAAAAGTGACAAATATTTTATTTATTTATTGACACATTTTTGCATCGAGATATCGCTCGAGCGAGACCAGTGTCGCTCAAGCGAAATACAACCCGAGAATGCCAATTTTGTGCAGGTGGCGTCGCTCGAGCGATGTTATTTTTGCTTGAGCGAATGTTGACTGCTAAATACGGACCAAGTATCTTTACTCTTGTGTTCATCTTAGTCTACAATTTTCATGAATTTATTGCTTGAATAATTGGTTCGTTAATTGTTTAATTTGTAAATAGTTTGTTATGAAAGTGGTGTTGAAAGTGTTTTTCCACTTGTTGGGTTACAATATACAAATCTGTCAGTAATAGTTTAATTAAATAATATATTTATTATCTAATGTATATTGATATAAAATTTTTTTGGTATATCAATTATATGACAACAACCATGATTAAGCAATTAATAATAATAAAGCAATAAATTTAAAAATTAGATTAAAAATAAAGTATTATAAAATAAAATTGTAATGATAATTGATTAAAATTGTATTTTTTTAATTAATTAAGTTAATGAGGACTTAAAATGTGATAATTTGATGTGTTTAATTTTTTTAATATAAATTTTTAAAATATAATTTAATTTCAATTGAAAAATAAATTCAAGAATATTTGTTATTAAACTTTTCTTAAACAATGTATTGAATAGTTAACATCACTCTAGTCTTAATTTATTACAATTTAAATTTTTAATAAATTTGTTTTATTACAATTCATTTTGTTAATATTGAGACCAAAGTTTATTTTTAAAATATATTTTAAAAATTAAATTATTTTTAAAAAATAAATTACTTTTAAAAAATAAATTGTAAAAAATATACTAAAACAATTAAAGTATATTTATAAAAAAATAAATTTAAATATAATAAAAAAATAATATTCATTAGCGATCGATTTCAATTCAGTAGCTATTTTCTCATTAACAACCGATTTTAATTCGGTCACTATTTTAATTTGTAATTCGGTCGCTAAATCGATCGCTAAATGATTTTTTTATTTTAGTATGAAATAGCCATCGAAATTTTGCGACGCAAAATATTGGTCGCTATTTCGATCGCTAAATAAAAAAGTGAAAACCAAATCATATTTTGGTCGCTAAATCGGTTGCTAATTGCGACCGAATTAAAGTGGTCATTGAATCGTCGCTAATTGCGATCGAATTAAAGTGGTCATCGAATCGCTAATTGCGACCGAATTAAAGTGGTCCCTAAATCGGTCGCTAATTGCGACCAAAATTAAATCGGTCGCTAATTTCGGTGGCTAAATGTGTTTTTTCTTGTAGTGAAATATTATAAAACTAAACAAATACAAAGTCTAAATTAATACTAAAACTAAGCTACCTAAATGTTAAACTATATAATACAATACAAATAATAACTTACAAAGTAAGTACTAGAAATGTTGAACAAAAAACTTTACTCATTGTTCTTTAATTTGTGTAATATCATGTTCGATAGTAGAGATTAATACATCTTGAAATACCTTAAACATTAATTTGACTCTTGTTAACATGCAATACACATATAAGTAAATAAACTTAACAAATATTAAAAACAATTACCTTCGTTTAAGAATCAATTATACCCGCACAAACTTTTGTCTATTACATGTGCTTAGAAGCATATTTTAGAAAACCTGTTGGGGTAAATGGGGATTTGTCCCCTCTTCTTATGTTGTGCGTAAAAAATCTGACATCGGAGTCAAAAGTTATCCTTCTTCAAACATTTTCTGTTTTCTTTTCATCATCATAAAACCTTAAACCTTATATACTGTAATATCTTCTCTTCAAACAACTAAAACATGAAAATATAAAAATGCAGTGTATAAACCGTAAATCTACTTAAACACATAAACAGATAATCACAAACTTCAAAAACGTGATTGAGATAAAAAAAAAAACAATAACAAATTCAAAAACATATACATAGAACACTAACATCTAAAACTTGAATTCAATCGGAGAAAAACGTCAACCACCACAAATGAGACATAATGTAAGTGTCCTGATAGGGACTTTTACAACACGACTTTTACAATGCGCACGATAAGAAAAGAAGAAGCCCTTAAGCGATTAAAACACGACTTTTACGTCAGACCTCATAGGGACCGATGTAAAAACCACTTTTTATGTCGATTAGGGAGTCACCTGACATAAAAAGTAGTTTTTACGTCGACCTCTAGTAGGTTCGACGTAAAAGTAGCATCCCTTATTTACAAAAATATCATCACATTTTTTTAAGTCGATTATTTTTTAGTCCAATGAGAATTGGGTGACGTAAAAAGTTCATTTTGTACTTTTAAGATAATAACGTTACATTAATATTCTATATTTATATTAGGATGCTAAATCAGGTCATTTATGTTGCCCCGTCTTTTTTTAAGTTGACTAAAAATAGAATAGAGTAGGTTGATTCATCTTAATCGGGACGAATTATAAATCACGAGTTTGTCAAAAGGCGAATTAACGAGACAACTCGTTAATATATTTTTATATAATTTTTTAATATACTTTTAATTATATAAATAATTTTCAAGTTTTTATTTACTAATTAATATTTTTAATAGATAAATTAAAAAATTATTATATTTATATATTAAAATAACTAATTTTAATTAATAATCTAAATTTTATTTTTTAGAATTTAAATTATAATATTATAGTGTATTTATGTATTATATATTTTAATAACATCATAAAAAAATTATAATATTTTTAATTATAATTTCTTTTATTTTAATTTTAATATATAAATATTTTTTCAAAAGGATCCCTTCATTCCACCCCACTCTTAATCTCATGGATTGATGGACTAGGTGGAACAAGACAAGATAAATTACCGGGTTATGACTACTGTCTCGTTATTTTTAAGATAAAATATACTTTATCTATTTTAACATTCCTAATTTATATTAATTTGTGAGATAAGTGCGATTAACTAACATAATTGACTTTTAATTAATAATTTGCAACATTAAAAATAATTAAGGTCAAAATTCACTGTAAAGACAAATTTTAGGAATAAAAGATGTAATTAATAATTCTTATTTTAAACAGGATAAGGATCATGGTTTGTTTTAGCTTTCCTAGGTATAAAAGATAGTACACACTCATTTCTTGTTTTCTTATGCCTTGACTTTCAGAGCCAATAAATAATTCACATTCTGTGGCCTTCATTCGATTACTGTTTTTGGAACACGTCTTTTAAAGTAAGAATAAATAAGAAAAATAAATTAGAAGTTTTTAGCTGTCAGAAAATAATTCCAAGGAAAGAAAAAAACTTGAATGAAACTTCTTAATAAAGTTTATTATTTAATAACAAAAATTAAAAAAAGAAATGTATTATAGTTAGAGTAAACCTAAGTGTGAAGAACCTTGGCAATTGTTTACTTGACCTAACCCCTTTACACAACCTTCATAATTAAAAAGATTGAAAGCGATAATGCAAGTGGTCACTTCAAATTCAATGGAATGTTTCTTTATGAAGGGAAATCGTAGTGAAAGTGTCTAACTTTAATAGTAGAGTCAAAACAAGATTTGGGTTTGGAAAACTGTTGGGAAGGGAAGAAATAGAAAAATGGGCGACAGATGGAATTGCCAAATTTGAGATAGGGTTTTGAATTCAAAATGCATGTGTTGCAGTGTAACACCAAAGCATGTGACAAATTCCAGAGTGGTTGTGGGTTCCTTGTCCTGTGCTTATGTTTAAAGTGATTTGGCAACATCAGACATGTCTGCTACTTAAAATGAGAGGGGAAATCGGAGAACATGATAACGATGCTAACAACCTTCCAACTCATTGTCCACAAATGATCAAAGGAGAAATAAAATATGTGAAACTAAAGAAGAAAATAATGGCTATACATTTTATTAATTTAGTGTAATTTGTTTAATAAAAAAAAAGTATTATGTAAAGAATTATGTTTGTTAATATATTTATTTAAAATGTTAATTATCATTTTGTTATTATATCTAACAGTATATTTCACTTAGGAATGATAAGACGGTTGCTTAAAAAAAGAGTAATTATATTTTGTAAGGAACTGTATTTGTTAATATGTTTATTAAAAAAGTTAATTATCATTTGACATTGATTTAACCGTATATTTTTAATATGTTTATTTTAAAAAATAATTATCATTTATCATTATATCTAATCTAATCTTATTTTCAGCTTTTATTGATTATTAATGTATAATATACTGAAAATATTAATAAATAATCGTATTAAATTATTGAAAAAATACTGAATATTTTAAAATAAAAATAAAAAAATAAAAGTAAGAGTTAATATATATAAAAAATTGAATACTCAACAAATGTACAACAGGAAAAGAAAAAGAAAAAGATATGTATTAAAATATAATTAATAACGTGACGTAAGAAGAAAATAAAATAGGAAAAAACGTAAGGATGTTAATGAATATATATATCAAAAAAATCTTTACCTGTATTTTAAACAGATAAACATTTATTCTATAATTGACATAGAAGAAGAGGGAGTTATTCTTATATATATATATATATATATATATATATATATATATATATATATATATATATATATATATATATATATATATTTAAAAGTTAAGTAATGATAATAAATTTTATCAAATAACTTGAAATAGTTTTTAATATTATATCTTATGAAAAGTAATTTAATATTAAAAACATAATATATTTTTGTTTAAAATTTAAAAAATAATAATTTATAGTAGGAAAATAGAATAGGATGGATTTAGTTTGTAGAAAAAAGAAAAATAGACGTGTGGACCCCGCTTTGGCACCGATTCGCCGATACAAATAGCACCTGAAAATATCGACGGCCCACAATGGGCCCAGTCAAACAGGGCCCCACCCGAGCAACGGGCCCACGTCGCAGTCTCCGAACTTACAACATTACCCTCTCTCACCGCTTTCATTTTCACTTGCAGCTTTTTTGCTCTGGACACAAGACGCACGCACAGAGAATCACACACTCCTATTTTCTTCTTCTTCCTCTATGGCGAGGCTCTGAATTTATGGAAATTGCGAAACCCTAGGCGTTCATTCACTTTCGTCGCATTTCGCGGACTCGTTTTCCAGGTGAAGTCAAAATGAGGTTCCTCGTTTCTCACTACCGATTTACTCTGGTTTTGTCCCCTTTTGGCACCTTCCTTTTCATAGTTGCATTGCATTTATGAGCGTGACTCGGTCGATGCGGAGAGAGAGTGCGTTGTGGTGTGTGATGTGACGATCATTCTTAATGCTTGCTTCTCTCTACATTCATTATCAATTAATGCCATGCACTTAGTGTGGTTGGTAAGCACTAATTCCACCCCTTTTAAATTCCTCCCCGCTGTCTTTCTTCTTCGAACCCCCTTACCTCCTTCCATGCGCAGTAATGCCTTCGTCGTTCCAACCCAACAACACTAGCAACGACAACAGCGACATGTTCGTTCGATTATTGCATTTCTTAAAGCTCTTATTCTTTTCTCAATTTCTTTGCTTGCATGTTGTGTGTTTTTATTTATTACTATTGTATTTCTGAGGATCCTGTTTCTCTTTTTTCCCCCAACGCCACGTTTGTAAAAATATTTTTTGTTTCAGGTTATAGGGACTTGCAGTTCATGGCGTGGGATCTGTGGAGTTCGCCGTATGACCAAGGTTTCTGTTTCTCTGCTATTTGGCTTCTGATTAATTTGTACTGCTGGTATCTGTGATGTAATTAATTAATTAATTGTTTTGTGGGTTCCTTTATGACAATTTCTCTGAAAGTTGCGTTAGAATTGACTTGTGAAAAGTGCTTCTTCATATTTGTGACGAATGCCTTCAATAACTCTATGTATGTATTAGATTTTTTAGTCTATCCGGTGATTTTTTTTTTTTCCTTTTTTTCTATGATTTTTTTCTATGAATACCAAATTTTAGAGAAAATCAGGTCTTTGTGCTAATGTAATCTTAAAGTTGACATTTACTTCTATTTTAAAAAAGTACTGTATAGTTTATCTTGAATTTATTTGATGAAGTATCAAATAGATTTAGAATTCTATGGAAATTTGTTGATTTGATCTAATCAATGAAAATTTTAAGGTGTAATTTCACTTTTGGTCCTCAATTTCGTTAGTTGTGTCTCCAAACCATTTTTTATTTTGCACCCAATTTCCAAAAAAATAATGTAATTTGTTTTTTTTTAAGAAACGTAATTTGTCTTAATTGTGTCTGTTTAAAGCAAAACCACACAAAAATGTCTAAAGCATGGCGGATTAAAGGAACAATAGCCAAAAAATTGTTCCAATTATGGTGCTTTTTCTATGTCATGACAAATTTGCTATATTTTGTAATTTGGGGGGACGAGATTCCCGGTGAAATTGCGACCGAAGTGTGATCAAGTTAAATTTTTAATTTAAGGGTTGAGTTAATAATAAAATTTAATATATAGAGTTTAGAGTTGTTGAAGCGGTGACTTCACCAAGAGTTACTTAGGCGGTAACTTGATCCCTCTCACTATTTATTTATTTATTTTTATCTTGTTTTCTTATCTACTATAAATGATTTAGAACGACAATTTTATTCAAGCAAATCAACTTGATTTTGACATGTGATTTGTTTATTTACTTGTTTCAGTTACGAGTGGTAGTAATTACTGGTCACCACAACATGAATGTGACTTCTACTTTGGGTGTGGTCCTGGTAATTACCGTTTCTTACTCACGCTGTATTTTTTGTCTTCCATCTGTTGTGTTTACTCTGGCTTTCTGTTAATTTTGTAGATGTAATAGAGGAGGACGCCTTGAACATGGAATCCTGTGTTCAGGTATTGAGAATTTTGATCACCAAAGCGGATACTGAGATAGAGGAACTTGAAAGAGATCTCTTGTTGCTTCAGAAGGAATTGGCCTGTGCTGAGCACGAAAAATGGCCTGATATATGCTGTGGTGTTCTCACTGAGAGAATCAACCAGCTTGATGTGGCACTTAGCACTTTAAAGAATGATTGTGCTAATGATGCTGAAGTGCAGCTACTTTTAGATAGTGAACCTGCTGAGACACTTCATGAAATACTTTCCCAGGTTTGGAATTTGTATACCTGTTTGAAATTTAATTTATGAATTCTGATAATTGAAATACGTACAAGTTTTACATGCTAATTGCGTATTCATGCTAATTGTATTCATGCTAATTGTGTGATCGCCAACCACATTAGGGATTATTGTCTTTGATATTTTCCCTGCAAAATAAGGTGTGTGGTCTATGGTTTTGAGTTTCTTTTGACAGTAAACAACTTTATTGTGAATAGTTTATTTTTTTAATTTTTTTTTGTAGCAAATGGAGAAAGTTAAGGGTAATTTGATTTGTAAATAATTTTCTGTTAAATGTTTTTGTAAAAGTGAAATGGAGGGGACAATTCAAATATTTTTACAAAAAACATTCCTGTTACTTGAATGCTTTAAAAGTTTCCAATGACATTAGGATTTTTTTATTTAATTTTTTCTTCATAAAGTATTATCAGGAGAAATGTAGGAGATATAACATTACAAAAATAAGAAAACAATCAAAAGATTGTTTTTACCGTTTCTCACATAAACTTAAAAAAAAAAATGAAAATAAGATGGCATTTTTATATTTAAAATTGAAAACGGAATATGTTTTGTGAAACCAAACATTCCCAAGTCCCTTTTTAAACTGAGCATATAAGATATACAAGATACTACAAATAGATATGTGCTGCACTTGTGGAATCAAAATATAGGTAGTTTATCTGAGGAATTCAGGGTCAGAGCAAATTGTCCTCACAATATAATTCAATAAGCTAGGTAAATGATGTTTTTGGCATTCTGTCCTTTACAAGAATAAGCCTGTGATTTTTTTTTAATCAGCAAAAGACAAGATACTTCTATAAACAGTGAAAAGTGGTACCAGGAGTACCCCACACGAGTACAACTAGAGGAATTCACTTAGAGAAAGTTCCAGGTTCCTAACAACTAGGAAAAACTATAATAACAGCAAATAGACAAGTCAAAACCTGAAACAATGGTCCGAGCCAGGAAGATGCAGAAAAATCTAACTGGTCCTTTAGAGTCTTTCAAAGACAGAAGCTTTGAAGTAATTATTGAAGTAGAAGAAAATCTGACTGATCTTTTAAAGTAGCACCTTGCATGACCTCGTGAGCAAATTCAGTTCTTAACTTCTATTAGGAGCACTAAGAGAAGGTGGAAGAAAGCTTGAACATATTTGACACTTTGGAAGCATGAGACAATGTCATATATTTCTTAATTTCTATTATTCAAAATATTTACGCTGAAGGATGTAACTGTTATGTTACTATTGATTATAATTTATACTACTGTCTTTGTAATAGCTTATAAATTGTACAACTGTAGTTTTTTAATTTTAAGTGTTTACCTATGTATTTTCTTGGTTTTGCATTTGCTGGATAATGACAGCAATACATATTAATCTACCCCTTGCCTGCAATTTAAGAAATATATTTACTCCTGTCTTCTTGATTGTGTATCTTCTGGTAGTAGTGATGTGATGTTAGTAGTTAACTGTTAACACTTAGTTTTGAATGTAACTGATATGTTCTTTCTTTCCCTATCGTTTCAATTTGAAGCAGTATCTAGATAGGAATATCTTGAGTCCAACTGTGAATGTTACTGAACATGCACTAGACAAAGATTCTAGCACCATTGATTCTAATATAATCATTAAGGAGGAAGGAAAAGATCTCCATGGAAGCTCAGAAAGCTCTGGAAGATTGGAACATCTTTTGGAGCTTCAGAAAAAGAGATCGGATAATCCTGAAAAGATTGAGGTAGAGAAAGATGTTACTGTATTAACTAAAACAATTATTTTCTATTCCTGCATTTAGTATAATTAAAAAAACACTTTTTTTTTTTTAAATAGTTGCTTCAACAATGTTTCGTTTAAAAAAATTTTAGCTATAAAATCTGTAATATTATACTTATTTAAGAATAATCTTTTTATTTTATCTATTTGTGTGATGATTGAATGCTTGACATGTCTACTTGCTTCATTTGCAATTGCTTTAAATTGTATGAGTTTAACATAAGAATGCAGTGATTCTTTGCCTCTATAGTCCACATAAAGCCATGATTTAGGCATTGGATATTTGTCGCTACTAATAGCATTTACTTGTTGGCAGTTACAAATTTCAAATAAGCCTACAAAGAGGTAGATATGAGTGCTGTGCTTGCTCAAATCTTCTACTAGTTATTATTGTTACTTTCAAGTTCAATTACCTGAGATGATTTTTGGTCAATGCTGACAGTTGAGTTTAATGACAAGCAGACTTCAAACATCAAAAGCTTCCACCCCAAATTCCTTGACCTTGTAGATGGTTATCCATAGAGGAGAGAATATTGGTAGTATTGATTCAGATGGAACTTGAGGAAGTAACTGAAAAGAAGTTATTTTTAGGTTCACTTTGCTGTGCTTGTCAACTCTGAACCATCAAATATCAATTACCCATTAAATGTAGTATTTGACCCAGTTTTTCCTTTCTAGGTTTTATTCTCTTTAAAAGGAGGAGCTGTATTAAACACATTTAGAGGAAAATTCTTAAAAGTTGAGGACATTATCTTGTAAGAGAAAACGGGGATAAATAATCAGCTTTCACACATTTTTTTAACCAATGAGACAAATACATACTTGTAGTTTTAAAAGAGCTTTTAAGCTGTAATTGTCAAACTGTTTTTTATTTTTAAGCTTTTCTTTAGAGCTTTAACTTTAAATGAGTGTTTAAGAAGGATTCACATGACAGTATGAACCTTTGTTTGACATTGAAACCTAAGGTAAACAGAGTAAATCCCAATAAAAGAGCCTAAGTGGCAGGCCGGCAGGTTTTGACTTTACATCGAGCTTGCTATAACAATCTGTATTGTTTTATTTTGATTTTGTTTTTGGTTTTAAGGTCTAACCTTGGTAGCCATTTTTAAATTTGAAACAAAGCCCAAGGGGAGTACCTATTGTAGAAAGGATTATTTCATATCTGCATGCATTTAAGCTTTAATGTTTCAAGGAATTCTGTGTAGGCTTTGAAGCCCCTGTCAAACTTGGCGCAGCCAGTACGATATGATTTAAATCCTGACTAAATTTTTTTATTTCTTTTAAGGATTTGCCTGAAGAAACACTTGAGAGAAGTCCTGATTTGGGGAGCGTTATCCATGCATCCTATCACTCTGATGATATGAAATTATCAGAAATATTTCATGATGAAGTTACTGGAAATGAAGTCAGAAAAAGCCAACTCATTAATACAAATACAGGTCAAATGTTGAATATGTTTTCCGCCAAAGATAATGGCCATATTTCAAGTGAAGCCAAGGTGCAAGAAGTGCTGTTCCCCTTCTAATCAATTTAAACTTCCTGGATGTATCAGTTACCATTTCAATTAAATTTAGACAAGGTTTTTAGTGCATATTTTTCTTAAATTGTGCAGAAAGAAAATGAATTTGTCAAAGAAAATGTTAGCCCAGATGATTTTACACCTGCAATTGACATCAATGGGAAGAGACCTTGTCCTAATTCCATATTAGATACTTCACAACAACAAAAAAGAGGAAAATCCAATTTAGACAAGGAGCTGTGTGATTTTTCTCCAGAAGCTGCACAAAGAGACTGCAAGAAAGAAACCAAGGTTGCTCCAGATGAAGATTTGAACTCTCTGAATTTCCCTTTACAAGTTGTTTATCCTAAAACATTATGTATCACTGATACTGAATTTTGCTACTTTAAAGATAGTAATGGTAATAATTCTGGACTAGTGCTCAACATTGAAAACACCAACCCTTATTAATGCTGAAAATTCTGTATTGATTTCACTGCTAGGGATGCATACCAAGAGTGCCCTGTATGCTGGGCTACAGCTGATGGATGAAGATGAAGGTGAAGAACATGCACTCGACCTCAAATCCCAACTTAAAGCTAACCTCAGAAAGTCCAACATGAATTTCCCTTCAAAGCTAGAAGTTCCAGAAAAGCAAAAACTGGAACTAGCGGCATTTTCTTCCAGAGAACCATTTGTTGACAGTTGCCCGGAAGTTATTCCAAGTACAAGTACATCTATAATCGTATCAACCAAGAGGCAGCGGAGATCCAAATCCTCTACTGATTCTACCATTTTAAATGAGCCAATGAACCTGAAGATTATTACTAGAGGGGAACTGCAACCTGACAAGCTTGAAACTGAAGGTCGAGCTATTGTTCTTTATGACAGTAAATTTTCTGAATTACAAAAGAAAAGAAGAGTCACAAAGTTTTCCATGAACGGGGACATACAAAATTCAACTGTTAATTTGGACGTAGCAAATTCAGATGGGGTTTCTATGGACAAGGAAAGCCAGTTAGCTACTCATACTAACAAGTCACATTCCTTGGTGGATTCCCATGATGATGAGACCGAATCTTTGAGAAAATTGACATTGACTGATTTGAGGGTCATGGCAAAGGAACACAATGTAAGAAAGTACTACAAGCTTCGAAAAGGAGATTTGGTTGAACAATTAGCTCAGCGACTCAGTAGTTGCTGAACTTACTTGTGGTAACCCATTTATGTTCTGCAATACTTTTTTGGGTTGGTTAGAGCCAGGGCTTCTCTTGAATTTGGTATAGGAACCTGACGTAGTTTTGAATGATACATAGGCACATCCAAAATGGATTTTGTGACAGGATATTATTGTACAGCCTATAGATAGAATTCTTAGGGTACTTTGTAAATGAAAGGAAGTATGCATTTTCTTCCTTGCAACTGGTTAGTCCTATAGGAGTCTTAAAACTCAACCGTTGTGCACCACTGACGAGCTGCTGAGATTGATAGTTAAATATGAAGCGCGGGTTACAAATTATCAAATTTGTTCATGTGTTTGTGTCGCATTCAGTTTATACTGTCTTTCCATTTTTTTTGCTTGATTTTTCTGTACATTGAACACAACTTTAAAAGGAGCATTGGCTGATCTATTTCAATATATTAATTCGTTCAATTTTTTTTTTCTTTCATTAGTGAAGTACTGGCCCCGACCAATGGACTCAGAAATGATGATATTTGAAGACACATTCCTGAATCTCATTTATTTAAGAAGACAAGTATTATGAAATAAGTGATTTATATTAATTTGAAAAGAAACTAAATGATTCTTTAAGTATTATGGATTGAAATTTTTGAGAAAATTTAGAGGGAGTGAATTAGAAAAAATATATAATTTTTTTAAGGTGTCTGGAATATTATTTTACTATTTTGAAAAGTTTAATAAAAAAGTTTTTGGAAAATTAAATTAAAAAATGAATTTTTTTTAATTTGAATTATGATTTACTCTTCTAAAAGCTTTTGAAATATTTTTTTCGAAAATATTTTAGATTTTGGAAGAATAAATCCAAAATCTATTTATAATAAGGTAAGATGGTCTTTGTAAATGAATATGGAGGTGCAGAAAGACAATACAATTTTGGAAAGTTTTTGGATTGATTTTTTTAAGTTTCCGAGAGAGCAAATTCAGACCCTATTTACATTAATGATAATATTATCTTTTTATATGAATATGAGATATGGGAAAAAAAAAGTATGAAATCTTCTTTTGCTGTGAAATTTCTCAATGATAAATTGTATAAATATTTAAAAATATTCTATAAGAAGAAAATATAATTTTAAATTTTCGGTATTTTTGAATTGATTTTTTACTTTCCTTTAATAATTTTATTGGGGTAAATTATTTTTCTAGATGTATTGATAATTAATTACTGAGAAAATATATATTTTAAAACATAAATTCATTAATTAATCTATTGTTCATATATTTATTTTTAAAAGAGAAGTACGGAGGGTGATTTAAAAAATAAGATATTTTTTCCTTGTATATAAATAAAAATAAAATATGTTTACTATTTTCTTTATTAAGTTAAGCCATCTCCAATAAAAGTTTTTAGAGGATTTATAAATAAAAAAATATTTTAATGAAGTAGTTTTTTAAAATTAATATATATTTTTTTAATAATACATACTTTGATATATAAATTTTTTTATTATAAAATTATAAATATTTTTTAAATATTTGAATTTAAATTAATAAAATAATATTATATTAAACAAATAAAAATAAAAATAAATTAAATTATTTATTTGATTTTTATAATATTTTTATATTTATAATATGTTATTAAAATAGTAATATATATATATATATATATATATATATATATATATATATTAGAGTGAAAAGTGACATATTTTATTATTATCAAATAATAAAATATTTTTTTCACTCATTTTCATATAATGGTCACTTTTCAGTCTTCATCTTCCTTGCAAATGAATAATTTAATAAAGATCGTGAAATTTTCTCATTATTAAATTATTTAATATTTATTTTAAACATATTTTTATTTTAAAACTTTAATTTTTAGTTTTTACAATATTTTTATTTAAATTAAGTGAAGATGTTATTTTTGAATAAAATAAAGGAAGTAATAACTATTTATTAAAAAATTAGGAAATGATTGTTTGTTCGAAGAATAAAAGAAATATGAGTGTCAGCTTATTAAAATATAAATGAAGTGTATATTTAATATTATTTAATTTTTTATTTATAATAAATTGAAATCATTATCCTATATACCAAAGAAAAGAAGTAAGGATATAGTTTTTGTAGAGAGCACTAGAATAACTTTCTTTTTTTATTGTTATAATTGTAATTACATATTTTAATTAGTTAGTTTGTGTTAATAATAATGTTTAGTCATAATTTTAACTAAATTTAGTGAGATAAAGATATTTTATTAACATATATGAATATGATGATCGATTATCATTTATTATATATTTTTTTACTTTAAACATGATTCATGAATGAAATACAATTTGATTAAAAAAAATATTTTGTTTTTCTTCACCACTCTTCTCTTTTCATGTTTGCTCTTGTTTTATGTTGATATGTTTAAAACTATTTTTGTTTAAATAGTAGTATTTAAAATTGTGTTCTTACAGGATGAGTTATAAAAAAATTGAGAGGAGAGTTTAAACGTTCAAAAATCGAACGACTTTAACGAATAATAATGTTTTTGTTGTTCTTCAATTTTATGGTAAAAATTAGTTTATAAAGATGCTACTTTGACTACTTTGACTTATGAAAGTATGCAAATCAAAATAAAGATGCTTCATCACATAGACTTAATCGTATTACACCTCAAATAAAGTAATATAAAAAGGAAACTACTTAGAAAGAGAAGATTTTCTCATGTTTATGTTTAATTTTGAAGGTGTGTTTACTATTATTATGAATATTTAAGTAGTCTAACAAATTTGACAAATTGAATAAAAAATATGAAAGTAATGAGGTAAATTCATTGTGTTTGGAGGTTAAATTTTTAGAAGGTAATTCATATTAATAGTGAATGTAATATTTTATGACAAAATAAGTTGTCTGGATACAAAATTTTTGCAAGCAATTGAATTGTTAAGAATTTATGATAATAATTTGATTATTTAAAATTATAAAAAATTTTAAATTTTACGGAAAAAAATAAGATTTTGAAATTCCTTGTATTTTTTATTTTTTTAATTTATGTTTCTTATCTTATTTTCCTTAATCTTGAAAGCAACGATGGGGAGATTGATGACAATGTGAAATATGTTCCTACATTCTTAAGAGATGATTTTGATGATGATTCAAATCAACTACATTCAAGTCAACACCATTCAAGATGAATTAAGGACAAGTTGAATTTAAGACGTTGGTGACAATGTGAAACATTTCCCTACATGTCCAAGATATGTTTTTGATAAAGATGATGATTCAAGCAAACCCAAGATGATTCTTGAAGACTAGATAGAGTTTTAGAATACTAGATATGGAAGTACAAGTTGATGAAGTAATATTATGCATAAGCCTCTAAAGCACAAATGTGATAAAATTCATAACATGATATTTTTCACTGTCATAATCAATTATGATGCATCAGAAATGGAAAAATGATTTTCTCTGTCATAATTGATTATATTGGTAACATAATCAATTATGACAATTCAAATTTGAAAAATATATTTGTTTTGAAGAATAAATGTTTTTGAATATATCCTGATTTTTATTCATGAAAATATTAATGTCCAACGGCCATTTTCTGATGCTATTTTTCTATTTAATTAAGTTTTGATGAAAAATCAAGAACACATAATTATAGAATTCGAAAATACAATTTACATTCAATCCGTTTTGAGAAAAGAATTTTTGAGCAAGGCAACAGAGATATTTTACACCTTCTAAGAAAACTCTCTTTTCTACTGTTTTCTGTGCTTTCATTATTAATCAGACTTGTTCTTGGAGATTGACATTCTACAGACTTCTACAATTTGTTGTCTCCATTACCCAGGTGTGACTGTTCTTATCTTACTCCTTCATCTTTTGTGGGTTTAGGAGGTGTTTTTATCCCTTTGATTTGTTCAGGGAGGTGTTCATCCCTAGTGTGATTCTAGGGAGGTGTTCATCCTTAGTGGGATTCTAAGGAGATGTTTTTCATCCTTTGATTTATTCAGAGGAGGTATTCATCCCTAGTGGGATTCTAGGAAGATGTTCATCCTTAGTGAGTTTCTAAGGAGTTGATTGTCTTTTTAATTAGTTTACTTTTTACTGGTTCCTCTGCTGAGTTGATTGTAATTTATGAACTGAATTTGAAAGATAGTGAATTGAGAGTCACTCTAGTGATTAGAGTTGACAGGGAACTGGATGTAGGGTTGACTATATCCGAACCAGTAGAAATTACTGTGTGCTCTTCTCTTTCCCTTATCTCTTTCTATTTTCCTGATTATATTATCGCTTCCGCTTTATCTGTATTCAAACAAATTATTGACTCACAAATAAATTTTTAATTTAACATCTATTTTAATTTGTGCATCTATTCATCCCTCCCTCTAGATGTCATTTGTCTAACAAATCTTAATTGTGATATATTTGATTCATCTCAACTTGTTTTGACTTGGGCTAATATGGACTAAGTAACTTAGTCCAATTCGTCCCACCTTGACCCATTTTGGATCTGGGTCCAAGATAAACATGACCTAGCTCTATCAAGCTAGTCTAGTTTGCTTACCCCGACTAAGCTGGTCCATCCTAATCTAGCCTAATCCAACTTAATTTGTTATGACCCATTCAAACCTTTTTTTTACTAGATTTGACCTATCTACCTGTTGAGAATTTTTAGGGTTTTATGTATATGTATTTTTGATATATCATGTGGGTATAGTTCTATTCATGTACTCTATGTATATAGAGTAAAAATATTACAAAATATCAAATATCAATAATATCTCAATCATAACTGTCTAAATCAAAATAATAACCTAATATCTTTTTACCTTCTCTCTTAAAAGATAATAAAATCTCTTAATACCTAATTTAAATAAAAGATAATAAAGTAATATTCTCAACATTTCTCCTTACTTTAATATCTATTTATTTGAATTTGATATTTTTTTCTTTTATTTTTCTTATAATTTTTCCTCTTTTTTGTTTGTACTTCTTGTCATCTTCTTTCTTGTATGAGA